AGTATTGAAATTTGGAGTCAAAACAAGCCCGATAGTAATCTCACGCGCTCTCATATGCTTCCACATGCATAAGGAAGGGTACTACCACTCGTATTATGACTCGTAGCGATCACCAACTGGCTCCTTCAACTTAGATCGTGTGCTCTCAAGTTTGAAGGCCTGCAATTTTCCTTTGAACTTTCTAGTGTTGACACGATGCTCCTCCTCTGCCCGACACACGTCCCCATGAGGTCAAATGACTAAAATACCCCTCTAAGGTTAACTTTGACTATTTTTTTAATCTTTCACTATTTTGTTTGTATTGATTACCAACGTTTTCCTTTGAGAGAATTAGTGACGACTGTCTTTTTAATTGTGTAACATTTGTCCTCTTTAGATTTGATATTTAGAATACTTTTATTTAGCGGTATCAAAAGAACCCCATAACCTGAAAACATCGATCAACTCAACCTCTACTCTGTACAATTTGAGTTGGGTTGAGTTCAAATAATTGAAAACTTTATGATTTCTTTTACTATTTATTTATTTTTACCGCTCTTAAAAATAATTTTTAATTTAGGCAATTTTTCAAAATATATATTAAAATAAATATTTTAGGAGGTAAACATTTCATTTTTTATTAAAACACAAAAAATTGAATAAACCATTTGAATAACCTCAACAAATGTGATGTTCGGGGAGGAGAACAAAATCATTCACAAGGGTATGGAAACTTTTCCTTAGCAGACACGTTTTTAAAGCCTTGAGGGGAAGCTTGAAAGGGAAAGTCTGAAGAGGACAATATCTGGTAGCGGTGGACTTGGTCGCGGGTTAAAGCTTTTATTTTATTATTATTATTTTACAATTTGCACATTTAAAATTTTTCTTAAAAAAGGAATTAGAATCCAATTTATGAAAGTTTATTTATTTAGTTAATATATTGTAATAAAGTAATGTGTTTTACACGTGTGTACATATCATCTCTTTATTCGTAGAAATCAACGGATGAAAAAAGCACTAAATATTTTGAATCCTTTTGAATTTTCCACATAAACCATACAAACTCCGAGACTAAGGTTTGAAAACCGAACCGAAATGTCATCGTCCTCTTCCACTTCTAGGCCCCTCCCGAACGGCACTCTCTCAAGCTCCACCCACCGCCACCACCCGCCCTACAGCCCCCGATCCTCCTCCTTCTCCTCTGCCTCCTTCAAGGGCTGCTGCTGCTGCCTCTTCCTCCTCCTCTCCTTCCTCGCCCTCCTCGTCCTCGCCGTCGTCCTCGTCGTCGTCCTCGCCCTCAAGCCCAAGAAGCCGCAGTTTGATCTCCAGCAGGTCGGCGTCCAGTACATGGGCATTACCACTCCCAACACTCCCACTAGTCCTATGGCTTCCCTTTCCCTCAACATTCGAATGGTTTTCACTGCCGTTAACCCTAACAAGGTCGGGATCAAGTATAGCGAGTCCCGTTTCACTGTTATGTACCGAGGAATCCCGCTCGGTCGAGCTTCTGTTCCTGGATTTGTTCAAGAACCACATAGCCAGCGCCAGGTCGATACCACTGTCGCCGTCGATCGCGTCAATCTCCTTCAAGCCGACGCTGCTGATTTGATCCGTGACGCCTCCTTGAACGACCGTGTTGAGCTCAGAATACTCGGCGATGTCGCCGCTAAGATCCGCCTCCTATCCTTCAATTCCCCCGGCGTTCAGGTACTATACTATACCATACTATACTTACCTTTTTCTTTCTAGGAGATTCAGATTTAGGGACATGGATGTAATTAGCTGATTTCTGGTATACCCTTCTGGTCTTCCGCATTTTAATGCTCTGCCACGCCCTGCCATTCCCTGCCATCTGCCCCCTCTGTTCCTCTTGAATTTATTTCTCGTGTTATAAATTGGGTGAGTTTGGATCAGAAATGTTCAATGTTTTTCGGACTTTTTAATGTTTCTTTTCCTTAATTCTGAAGAACACATTGTGCATAAGTAGAAAAAGCTTTGAATTCGTAATAGTTTTGATACACATGAACACAGAAAATGGTAGAAAACTTTTCTGCTTTGTTTTTGGAAATCAAACAATAAGATTAGTAGAAGAAGAGATTGAAGAACAAAGAATTTGCCAAGAACTCTTTTATGTTCTTAACTGGATTAGAAAGGATCTGAACTGAACCCCCCATTTTGTAGCTTTAATTGTTTGTTCATAATTGTTTTCATGTAATATTTTAGTCAAGAAATTGAGCTGTGGAGTCTAAAAAGAAAGAGGGAAAGCGACAAGAGAAAGTAGCATCGTTTTCCTTCATATTTGCTTTACTTTCACGCCCATTTTGTAATCTTCCCAATAGCTTTGGCCATAGCTGTTGCTGCAACTCCTTAACGTTATTAGATCAGCAAAGCATAGCTTTATCCAATGATAGAACCAATTAGATACTCCGATACCTTCGTCAATCCGAACATAGCTATGCATCAATTAGATCTCGGATGAATTCGAGAAGACTTTTGGTGGTAGCGGTGTTTTTAAGTGAAACGGAGGTTCGAACCATACCTTTGAAGTTATACCCACAAGTGCTATATTGGTTTCGAGTCAGGGTTTGCCTCCGTTACGCTGTTGCTAACAAATACCACTATGTTTTGTTTCGATATTCTCTGTACCCTTTTTTTTCTGATCCTTCGATAAAAAGATTCATAGTCGAGTGGACAATTGGATCTCATCTCTCTAGACGAGAAGGAATGGTGACAGCTAATATTGATATCAAAAGGTTGCATTATTTAGGAGATGAAAGGAACCTTTGGATCATTCCCTGCCCCATGTGACTTTTGGATGCATCTCTTCCCATTTCCTATTCTTTTGTTTATAATATTATTCTTTCACTTTCGATTATTTTTACAATGCTTTCCTTTTCTTCTTCTTATTGTTCAGGTTTCAGTGGATTGTGCAATTGTGATCAGTCCAAGGAAGCAGTCTCTTACGTACAAGCAATGTGGTTTTGATGGCTTAAGTGTCTGACTCTGGTCGGTTCGTGTTTCAATTATTTCATTTTAGTCCCTATACGATTTATCAATTCAGTTCCCATCCACAACCACGAGTCAAGAGAAACGGTTGTGGAATTAGGGACTGAATTGAAATGATGAAGATTTTTTGGAAGGACAAAATTAACGAGAGGATAGCTACTCGGGAAACGATTTGTAGAGAGAGTGATTACTCGAGAGAGAGATTTAGCCGAAGAAAATGTAATATTATGAACATTTTTTTACGAGAATATTACCGATTAAACGAGAGACATTACTCAGAGCGAAAATTGATGTGATTTTGGGACTTTATAACTTTTTAAAAGATTTGCTTTAAAAAGAATAAAACAAGATTTGGGGATTTCTTTTTCTTTTTTTTTTTTTTTTGGTAATGTTGTTTTCTTCAACATTAAGGAAGTTTTTTTATTGGGTTATTTGAGTAATTATTTACGAAAAAAAAAATTAATTGATATGATCTACGAGAAACATTCAACCTATCAATATACTATTGTGTAAGACATGATTATCATTATCATCATCATAGTGTACGTGTTTGTACTTGTCAATAATCTGATGAAAGTGAATCTACATTATGCATGAGGTAATTTTCATTTTAAATCACTCACGCGAAACAACTCCACACATCTTTCCCACGTTACTGTTATAGATAACATGTATGCATAAGCCTTTATACATTCATCATTTATAACATTACAGGGATTGTATATCAGAAAATTCATTATCATAATGCAACATGACATCTTATACATGCACATCATTGTAGTATGAGACATCATCATATATCTTATGTCATCATGTTGTAATATGTTGACATCTTAGCGAATTATAATATCATAGTACATCGTATCACAACATCATCATAATACATCATAATGTCATATCAACTCACATCATCATAACACCTCATAATATCACATTGAATCACATCATTATAATATCACATAAACATACATGACATTACAAGGGCTACTAGGCATGTGTCATCCTACATAAGACAAGTCTTACAACCAAGTCGATAGTAAGGCAACGTATTTAGTTGATTTAGGTTGGAGTTACTAATTCTTCTTAGTACTATCCTGCATTTACTAATTCTTTTTTATATGTCCATGTCCCAACATAACGAACACGAAAGTCTTATTTGTGTTCTCGTATGGTTAACATACGGTTTTGCACGTGTTAAGAATGAAAAACTCTAATATCAAGTTAAGAATGACAAATAAGAGTGGGATCGAAAGTCCAATTTTCATAATGTCAGAGTTGCTTAGAAGATTTTCTCTCCCTCAACCGTCTCTTCTCTTGTTCTTAAACCTCTAGGCGAGGGAGAAGACACTTTTCTCGAGCCCGCGTGTGTCTGAAAGCGATGTTCTCCAGCCTTGTACAATGAGGTATTCGATAAAATCTACGTATTGGTCCGTTTTTATAGTTGTACGCTAAACACCAAAACTTAACCCATTGTTTACAAAAGTGACACATACTAAGCTTTTATTGACTTAAAACTCACTCTAAATACCATAAGATATGGTAGCAAACGCATAGTTCCCATGTATTGAATAAGACTCATAAATCAGTGTTTACAAAAGCCCATAAAACCCACAAAGTTAACCAAAAAAGCCTCAAACTAAATCGAGATTGATAATGACATGTGATGAGTTAAAGCAGACAATATTTGCAAGACCGTTTCCTATATTATTATTATTATTATTATTATTATTATTATTATTATTTATTTATTTCCAAAAACAAACTATTTAGGAATATAGATGGAGTAAGTTTGGTGGTTTTGGTTCAAAAGCTGAGAAGGAAGAAAGATAAAATTAACGATTGCGTGTCATCTAAACAGCCATCGAAGCAACCTCACCACGACCGTCCGATCAAATCCGATCAGATCTGCCGTGCGATGAGAATCCGACCCAAGTCTCCGCCTTTTCAATGCAAGAAAACGGGCTTCTCGCGACGGCGTAGCCAAGCCACATCATAACTTCACCTCCCACTCGCTTCTCAAGCGCGTGTCTTCACGCTCCTTTCCTTCTCTCCTCTCCTAATGCTCACGCAATCTTCTTCCATACGATGAATGTACGAACCAAACTGAAAGAGAAAGTGGCGTGGAAATGACAAACTATTCGCCTTTCTCTCTCTCTCCGCTGTTAGGTAATGGAATGGGTAACCTATCTCTCTTCTGCCTGTAACTCCCTCGATTTCTTCGCCTCCTTCTCCCGTTTTCTCCTCTAAAACCCTTACTCTCTTCTCACTTCCGTTTTTAAATCTTTGATTCGTGTTCTACTGTGTTTCCCTGAATTTTGGACAGATTTACATACAGTTCTTCACCCTCTGCGTTTTTCGGTATCGTTTTCACTCTGGGGTTTTTATCGTTTCCGTTTCGGTTCTCTTCATCTTGTAATAATCGCGGTTTAAATGCTAGATGTTTCATGTTTCTTCTAATTCTTGTCAATTTTTCTTGTGAGGATCTCCGTTGATTTGGATTTTCCCTTTTTTAAGAGGCCATTGTCTGCTTTTGAACTTATATTTCTCTGAATTGTTGTTTTTTTCTCACATGGATTAAAGTCAAGCCCATGTGCGTGTTCGGTTTTTTTTTTTTAATCAATTCCATCCCGTTTGTTCTGCTAAGCACGTTCTTGTTGTTAGCTCTCTGCTATTTACACGCATCCTTTAAATGATTTTGTGTTTTTATTTGTGCTAATGCGATTTCAGGTGCAGTTTGATCTCTCCCTTCTGACTTCTCTTGGATCTAGATTTCCTTGAACTTTGAAGCTGGTGAGTATCGGCTTTCTAATGTAGATGTGTTTTGGAGTTTGTTGGAATTTATCCCAGAATTTTGTTGATCTAGTAGATTTTTTATTCTTACTTTTGGTCTATCTGTTTGCCATTCCTTGTATGTTTTGACGTTTGGTAAACTGAATGTGATTCTAGGATCTCTTAAAGATGCTAACCTTCTATCATAGATAATGGTTTTGTTCATTTGTTGTTGATCTTTCCTGCAATTTCTTTGTTGAATAGAAGTTAGTTTCTAGTGTTAAACGCTAGGCAGAGGATATTTGATCTGAATTCCCTTCCAATTTTCCGTTAATTATAGTTGGTTTTGTGCAAATTACTTGGCTAATTAGCTTCATAGTTTGATTTTACCTGTTTTCCACAACCGATTGGTGTATATGTTTTCATTAAGAAAAGGTGTAATGTTTAAAATTGTTGTGAACATTGAATTTACCTGTTGGATTCGTGATTTGGAAAGAAAGAATAACTTCATTTGTTCTCAAAATAATAAATCACATATGAGGTTAAAGTATGGAAAATGATAGAAAGAAATTTTATATGACAACTGGCAACCATTTTTTTTTTTACTGAATTCTTGTCCTTCAAAACTTTAAATTATTCTGGTAATAGTTCTTGAACAAACCTTAACTTTTCTTGGATTAAATTACAAACTTAGTCTATTTAATACCTAAACTTTAAAAATATCCAATTATGATCCTATGTGTTAAAAATGTGGTTCTATGCACGATAACGTGACGCTTATTGAACCCATGGAAGAAGGTAAACAACATGACAAAATAAGGTGTGATCTTGTGTAGAATGCATCCAATATTTCTCTTCATAAAGAGAGTATTTATTAATGGTTCTCTTTTATGATTTAAGACTGATCTATGCCCCAGTTATTGGAAATTGCTTTACAGAGATATAAATCCTAGAATGAATTTTTTTTAAGAGGCTTAATCATATTTCTTTATGTAGATTTGAAAGCATGATTGTCTCCTTCATGGGACTGCATGAGATTAAATTAAGTCAAATGATATTTGATGACGTGCGTTTGTATAAAAGCTATTTTGCTCAGATCCTGGACATGATTTAACATTTCAATTGATCATTATTATTTTAAAGTTTTAGATATATTTGGGACACATTTAGAACACAGAAAATGAAGATACTAAAGTAAAGGAAAAGAAAAAAGAAAAAGAATATAAATCGTCTAAGCTTTGGGGCTAAACAAATAAAGACACAAAATTAGATCAAATGAAGTAGAAAAAGAGAACGAAAATAAGGAGATAAAGCACTAGTTTAGAAAGATGATACTGAAAAAGAGTCCAACCCTAATTATTAAAACCCTAAATGATACTGATATAAGAAAGAACACTAAAAGATCATTGAAGAATGAGGAGATGAAGCACTAGTTTAGAAAGATGGAATCCCCTCGCCATACATTCACTTCTTTCACCTGCCGTTGTAGCTATAGTTGAGAGAGAGAGAGATTAGTTGCATCCTTATGTGAGAGTCAAAGAAATATTGTCCTTGCTCTTGAAGAACTATTGTTATTGTATGTGGGAGAGGGCTGATTTTATTTGTTAATTGCATGTGAGAGAGGACTGAATTTATTTTGGGTTGATAGCTCCATTGCCACATACTGAAGGAAAGCTGAGGTGGAAGTAAACCACCAACAGCAAGGTTATTCTTTTTCTTTTATCCATATCTTGGTAGTCTCTTTACCTCAATAATAATTATAAGATAGAATTTTCTTCTCGCCAAAACAGTATGACCATGTGCAAGTCATAATCTTAGAATAAGGAAGTTAGATATTGCATAGTATGTCAAACTATACACACACATGCATCTACATATTCAATTTTCTGTGTTCCCTGCCTTAACGAGTTTTCTGCAACAAAAAGTGTGTCTACTGAAAAAATAAGGTACTTTTTAAACAATATTTTCAGACAACCCTTATTCTCTCTTTGCAGTTTTTGTTAGCACCATTTTAAAGCTATTAATAAGAACTTTGATTGGATGACACTTGCAAAGACTGAATTTATTATGCACGTTGAAATCATTATTCACATATTTCTAAGGACAGCTTCCAAACAAGGCCCATATGTCCAACCGAGGGAAGGACAATAAGTGGTGAATTTTGGACAACGACAGTGTATTTTGTTTTCTAGGATGTTAGAAAACCCCACATAGCTCTCTCTCTTCAGCCTGGTGTATTCTTTGCAAAAGGCAAGGAGAAGATGTTGCCCATTTCTTTCTGCTACACCCTTACTTCTTTTGGCTCGTCTTGGAGTAGTAACCCATCCAGGAGATAGCAAAAATGTGGATCAAGGCTATAATTGTTCTATCTCTTGTTTGAGAATTTTGGATGGAAAGAAATGGAAGAATTTTCAGAGCATCAAACACCTTACCTCCATTACTGATGCAGGATCATGCTATTATCTTATTAGAGGGAGCATTGGAGAAACTCTCATTAATGAACGACCAAAGGGCCATAAAGAACAACTCTTTATGTTGTGTGCTTGCTTCTTTAATATCGTGTAGTCTATGAAAGCTCAGAGTTAGCCACTAAGCAGGTGTTGTTTACCAATCCCTGAGGAGAGGTGCTAAATTATGTATTTACTACTCGGTGTCAGCTTGTTTACATTTCTATCTTTGTGTTCCTTTGTCCTTTTGTTTCTTTTGTTTTAGGTGGTTGTGTGCTGAAAACTCTTTCAGGTTCAAGATGTGTGGTTTACACTGTTTGTGAACTTGAATTCCTTAACGAAATTTATTGTTATTTGTTCATCAATTGAAGCTCTTGAGGTCATTATATGAATGAGGACTTGGTACATTGTTGTAGGAGCATACATAATTTGCAGTGCGATGTTCATTATGTATTTCTTACAATCCACTTGGTTTTGCTGATGTTCATATTACCTGCAAATGTTTGGCTATATATCACAGATTGAAACTCGAATGGCAAAAGGGAGAAGGGGACGTCGCAGGATGGCTTCCCGACAATTCAGATCAAACCCATATCCACTCCCTTATAAGCGGGATTTCACAGAGGATTTGTGCCCAAAGAATTGTGTCAGCGCTCTGGATAAGAAGTATTGGGAAGATGCAACATGCTCTGTATGCATGGAATACCCTCACAATGCTGTTCTTTTACTCTGTTCATCTCATGATAAGGGTTGTCGTCCCTATATGTGTGGCACAAGCCTTCGTTATTCCAACTGCCTTGACCAGTACAAAAAGGCTTACACCAAAGTTATTTCGTCCAACAGTGCACAACCAGTACACGCCTCAATTGATTATTCAGCTGTTGTAGAGGATGCAAGTTTTCTTGGTGAAAATCATGAAGTGACTGAGCTTGCATGCCCCCTCTGTCGCGGACAGGTGAAAGGATGGACCGTGGTTGAGCCTGCCAGAGAATATCTGAATGCAAAAAAGAGGACCTGCATGCAGGACAGCTGCACGTTTTTAGGAAACTACAAGGAACTGAGGAAGCATGTGAGACAGGAGCACCCATCCACAAGGCCACGGGAGGTAGATCCCGTGCTTGAACAAAAATGGAGAAGACTGGAACGGGAATGTGAAAGGAACGACGTGATGAGCACAATCAGGTCGACAATGCCCAGAGCTGTGGTCTTTGGGGATTATGTGATAGAAGGAAATAGCTTTGGGTTTGATTCTGAGGAAGAGGAAGCAGGGTTGAATGCGAATTCGAATGCGAATGCGGCTGAGAGGGATGGGGGCTTTGAAGTGGGCTTTGATAGTAATCTGGTGAATGTGTTTCTTCTGCTACATGCCTTTGGTCCGTCAAGTAGCGACCTCAATAGACGGCTAAGGCAGCAGCAGCAGCAGCCAGAGAGGAGTTTCCCTCCCGGACCAAATGAAGGCGCTACAGGTATTATTCCCAACACCACTCCTCTCAATAGTTTTGATTCCATTAATCTAGACAGTGACAATGGCGGAAGTGGTGGCAATGACAACGGGGGCAGCATGTCATTGGTTAGCCGCCTCCGCCGCCACGGAAGGGTGCTGTTGGGACGGTCAGGTAGGAGACGTAGGCATAGAGAGAGTAGTAGTAGATGAATGAATGATGAAAATGGGCAGAGAGAAAGGAGGGGAGTAGGAATAGGAAACATCTCTCAGGTACATAGCATAAGAAAAAGAAGTAGAAATCTTGATAATAAAGGAATACAGAGTTGTGGAATTTTGAGCAAAATTTATGACGACATTTATTTGCGCCCCCGTCCGTCCATCTGATAGGGGAGATGAAAAGCTTTGGCAGGTTAAGAAGCCTGTGATGTAATTTATTGTGAATTTGTATAATTTCCTGATTGCCTTATCCTCCTCTTGATGATATATGCTTGGATTTGCTTGAAATTTACTTGTAACCATCTGAAATTAATGGATCTTCTGGACATTGCTTCCTTCTACAACAAAGTCATTAGACTAATGACACCCATTTGTTCACAACACCCATTTGTTCACATATTATAACTGCTCTGATGAATCTTTCACTGCCTTTACTCTCCATCTCTTCAGAGTCCTGCTTGCCTCTCTATTTATTATTCATAAACTTGTAACTTTTAAGTATAAAGGCCTTTTGTTTTTTCAATCATATATATCATTTATGCACATGATGATATATTCTGATACATACAGGGTAAACAACTTGTAATCGTAACGATCTTATTTACTCATTCTCATAAGTATAAGCCCGTTACTATACGTACGTATACTATGATGCTTGGAATAGAATTGATTCCAATGAAAATTCTTTTAAAACTTATCAAGTTTTTTAAAAAATGTTAAATAGTCATAAAATTAACTTAGGATGAAAATGTCATTGCTACATGGGATTGACTTTATTTTTTAGATAAGGTTGGATTGGACGTGTAGCATTTTTCTATACATAATCACCACATATGCACGTGGGTCTACTAGACCACGGATGATGCATACTCATGCCACAAAGAACTAACAGAAAGGAAAGGAACACTTAATATTTTGGTGTACTTAGTGATCATAAGACATATAACATGTATAATATCCCGTAATACTTATAACATACCATGGACACATTGCAAAGGAATGAGAGGGAAATCGACCCATAATCAGCCAAATGATTAAAATTCAACATTCATATTTTTAAGAAAAAAGTATAGATGCTTGGGCCGTATTCTAATATGATACCATCGTTATAAAGCAAATGATATGTATTTATACAATATATGGACGGCTCAACTGGAACCTGTAATTTGGATTTGAGGCATAATAATCTGCGTCGGACCACGACTTCCTCTGGTTTCAACAACCTGAATTTTGGCAGTGTCTTAGTTACTTGCCCTCTTGCTGACGATGGGTAGCAGCGATGGAGGCGGAGGAGATCAACTGAAGCAAATGGCGGGGCTGAACAAAGCCCTAAAAGAGGGGGAAAGGATTCTGGCGCCGACAAGGCGTCCCGATGGTACTCTTCGAAAACCCATTCGGATTAGGGCTGGCTATGTTCCGCAGGAAGAAGTCGCCGTTTATCAGTCCAAAGGGTCTTTGGTATGAACAGCAGCCTTCCCTTTTCCCACGCTTTGTTGCGCTTCTTTCTGCCTTTTCCCTTTCTTCTTTTCCTTTGAGCTATAGTCTGCTTGCACCTTTATTATGTTTCTGTTGCTCGTTTAACTCGCTTGTGAAACTCATACTGGGATAACCAAATCATCCTTTAAGCTGCTGCCGTTTATGTGTTGCGTTAATGTGATATGTCAAGGCTGCTCTCTAAATCACTATATTTTCCTTCTCTGTGATGTATAAGACGAAGCACTGTGAAATACTGTAGCCCGTGACTTCAAGCGATCATTTCATCCGGTGGAGCACACAATAGAAAGAAAAGAAAAAGTATGTAAATGATGGAATAGTATTGCGAAAGTAATGAGATAATGGAAGTTAAAGAAATATGTTTCTTTAAATTATGTCAGATTGGATTGGATATTTGAATGTATGATCTCTTACAAACTTTCGGTTGACTTATTAGAATATTAGTTCTCAGGGAAGTTTCACTGTATTTTTTTTAGTTTTGGAGTATTATTGTTAGAGTTTTATGTTACAATGTAACTAGTGGGCATGATAGCCATTGTGGTATTGATGGGTAGAGAGTTACCACCTTTCAGTTGACCATAGGTTACTCTAGAGTTTATTTTCAAGCCTATAAATAGTCATTTATGTTTTTGCTTTACCATTATGATTTTGGAGATTTTGGATACTAGAAGGATAGTTGCATATTATGCTTCATAAACCATGAGCTTGTTCCTTTGCGTTTCATGTGTTTAGATTTGCATGATAGAGTCATTTAAGTAGTCTTGATCAAGCTTTCTTGTGAATTGATTCGAATATTGAGTTTAGAAACAAGTTTTTTTTTCTTTTGATATTGATCATCAAGGTAAGCTACTTCTATCTTCTTCATTGAGGTGAAATCATCTTGATTTGGGAGTTTTAGCATTAGTGATCTAGGGGTTTGCATATCCCTAAGAGTTCTTAGTACCAATTGGCTAAGGGTTTCATATCATTTCTTGGGATTCCATAAAGAAAACTAATGCTAATAACTTGGAATTTTCCTTCACAAAGTATGAGATACCGTGAGCTGTTTGTGATCTAGGTACCAACAAATCCCCTAGTTGGGACAGCTACACTATGGAATCTTATAAAAAATCTTGGAATGTCCTAAAACCCGACATGTTAAGGCTGTTCCAAGATTTTTCTTTTTTTAAAGAATGGTATCATCAATGGAAACCTTAACGAGAATTACAGTTGCCTTATACCCAAAAAGGTGGAAGCCATGTTAGTGGGAGATTTTAGGCCTATTAGCACACCATCTCCTTTCATTCATGTTATCAGAGCATCCATACAGAAAATAGAAGAAAAATCTTTGGGAAACCTCGTCAAAGCTTTTGGATAGTATCACTTCACTTACTATATCTTGTCGTAAATTGTTACCTCTTTTTAGTTCTTACTCTTTTGACTCTCTTATGACCAATTGGAGAAGCCTTTGGCAGCCCTTTTGGCTTGGGATTTCTTTCCCCTCTTTTGTAATTTCATACATCAAGGAAATTGTTTCTTATACCCAAAAAAACAAAAACAAAAACAAAAACAAAAAACCAAACCAACATCTTCGTGCGTGGAAAATTTTCTTCTTTAAAATGATAAAGATTAGATAATACAATTCTTACCATAACTCGCATGAGTAAGGAATCAAAGGAGAAGTTATTTTATGTTCTTGAAAATTATAATTTGAGTGAAAAGCAGTCACTGAGTTCTATTGTTTTTCTGGTTGAAGTTTGATTCCTTTAGTTTACAGCACCCTAATAGTCATCTTTCTGTCATTCATGGGGATTATTTTCTCTGTGGGATACAGTGGAAAAAGATGGCATCCCATGACGGGCCTCCTGGTTATGATCCACCATCAGATGTAAAATCAAAGAGCAAGTCTGCCAAGCGGAATGAGAGAAAGAAAGACAAGCGAGTACAGGTTTGTTTTCCCCTCAATTGAGAATGTTACGTTATGTTTCTGATGGCATCTTAAATATTGTGAGACAAAATATTTGAAAAGCATAATGCCTGTCATCAAAACAAATTTATTTGTGATCCCTAACTGGCGATGAAAGTAACTAAAATTTATATGTCCGGAGGGCAGAAAACGATTTTCATCTCTACTTTCTGTTCTTTTCCCCCATCCAATGAAGTATGAGGACATGGTATTTTCTTCATTGTCATTTTTCTGCAGGCAGCTCATGAAAATGACAAAATTTTGGAACAAGTTGATGCTGGAGAGATCATTGAAGCAAAGGAATCATATGTTGATAATGTGTCGGAACCTGTCCAGTCATTAAGTACCCAGATGAATGAACTTGCTGTTTCTACGAATCAAAAAATTGAAAACCCTTCTTCTGAGCCAATGGATGATCAGCGGCTTCCTTCCAATGACATCGACAAGAGAATTAGAGCAATAAAAAAAAAGGTGAATACAAATTTGCGTTGGTAGAATATTACAAATCATATTAGATTCCAAGTCTTTCATGAAATTTGTCAATCCCATTGCATAAAAATTCTATTTTATCTACGCATTCTAAAATAGTTTTCATCATACAATACAAATTCAAGAACTAAAGGGAAACAATTAGATACTTGTTGTATCATACTCTTTGAACAACTTTCTTCCTGTGGGTACTCCTTGTTGGTATGGCATATTGGCCGGTGTAGATCTACCTGATCTAGTTAGTTAAGTTATGAATTAAAAAAAAATATGAGTTATAGAATGATTATTGTTTTTAAGGCCCAATTAGTTGTTTGTAAACTACATTAGTTAAGAATCTCATGTGCTGTCATCCTTAATTACCTTGATTCTGATTTCTTCACCTTACTTTGGGAGGCTAAAATGTTGGAGAAGATCAATATTTTTGCTTGGTTGGTTACCTTGGGGAGGATAAACGTTGTAAGGAGATCCATTGTGCTCTTTCCTCTTAGTGATGGACAGCTTCAGTAGACTCCTCACAAAGGCTGAATTATGAGGCAAAACCAAAGGCTTTCATGGGGGCAAGGGCGAGGTTAGTATTAGCCACAGACAAGTTAGGCCTCCCCCTCAACAATTTAGGCTTCTGCGCCCAGGTTCAAGGCCTTGTTACCAAAGTTGATAGACCCAAAGAATTGAAGAATGGGAAGCATATAGTCTGTTATAAGTGATTACGTTTCCAAAATCCAGAATGGTTGAGGAGTTTTAGAATTTTACTCTCCTCTACTCTAGACCCTCGTACCCTTTGTCGTCTCTCCTGAGCTGTATTAGCTCTAATATTACAGAGAAAACTGTATAGTAAGTATATAACAGCCTAGCTAGTTACAGCCTCATACTAGGGGTAGTTGTTGTAGATGATGCTGGTGGTGTTTGTGGTTTGTTTTCCACGCACTTATAATGAATGTTTCATTCTCCTCCTCAACCGATATGGGATCTCACAATTCACTCCTCTTTGGGGCCAGCGTCTTCGCTGGCACTCGTTCCTTTCTCCAATCAATGTGGGACCCCTCATTCTCACCCCCTTCGAGGCCAAGTGTCCTTCCTAGCACATTATCTGGTGTTTGGCTCTGATACTATTTGTAACGGCCCAAGTCTACTGCTAGTAGATGTTGTTTTCTTTGGGTTTTTCCTTTCAAGCTTCCTCTCAAAGTTTTTAAAATGCGTCGGCTAGGGAGAGATTTCCGCACCCTTATAAAAAATGCTTTGTTCTCCTCCCCAATCGACGTGGGATCTCATAGTATTCTTGATGCAAATGCTACTTGTTCAAGAAATTCTTTTGTTCTTACAGTATTACTTGCACTCGGTGCCATAACTTATATTTTCTGTTTGCGAACATCTTTTAATGAATTATTGGTTGCTTTATGGACAGCTGAAGATCTGCATTTTTCTCTATCTTTGATCGTTTTCCTTGTTTTGTTCT